CTTTGCAGCATTTAGATATGGAACTGTTCTGGCCTGAATTGTGGTCTAAAAAGATTGCTTTATGGAGATACTAGACAAAGGAGGAACATTTTCAGCAGTTGTGGTGGCATCAAGTGCCCCTTCTTACAGAGGACCAAGACAATACACCTGGAGCAGCTCAGATAGTGCATGGATGGGAGTTACACTGAAGACCATGAAGATCAAGAAGCATAACAGGCCTGGTAGAAGTCCAGAGCACTAGGAAACATCTCCTGGGCCAAGCAGACGTGGCTGCAGATGTGGAAGCATCAGCCAGCGCAAGCAACAATCTGTTCTGGTTTTGAAAAGTAAAACTGAGGCTCTGCAGTTTGGCAGCACAACAGCAGGAGTCCCACCACAGACATTAACTTCTGGGATGCTGAGTAGTTTCCTGCAGTCAAAGGGTGCTTATCTTCAGTGTGCCATCCCTGCCCTGCTCTGTGCCATCACACAGCCACAATGCTCAAGCAAGCCCAGCACAGGCCCCAGGAGCCTTGTGCCAAGGGATTTGTGGTTGCCTACAGACAGGACAAGTTTTAGTTATACTGTAGGGTCAGGTCACATCTGTGCAAAACAGAGCAATGTAGTAATGAGCACTGAAGGGAAAAAACCCCACCGTGCTATTTATAAGCAAGAAAGACGTGTCTAAACCAACATCATTCCAGCAGCTGTGCCATGGGAGACACAAGCTGTAGCTGCTGGGCTCCCAGCCTGTAGTCATAGTATTTCTTGCTTCCACATTTCCTTTACACAGATGTGGTTAGTATAAAACTCATCTTTTCCCCTTCAAGTTAATATTGTTTTAGCTCTGTGGACAATAAAAATAAACCACAACCCCCCCAGCTTTTTCATGGCCTAGAAGCACATCCAAGCACATGAAACTTAGGGAAAACCCTTGCAAACCCAAGGGAAGAGAGGGGTTGGGGATGGATTTACACAGATGGGGAGGCAGAATGATGATACCAGTCTTACTCCCTAGGGCTTTCTGGCAACCCATTGCTCTGACATCCAGAAGCTTTAGATAACTCATCTAGTAGCTTCTGTTCTGCCTTAGCTTCTGGAACAGGCATAGTCAACCAGGCAATGTGAAGAAATGCCACAGGAGGCAGTCCCCACAGCTCAAGAAAAGCATTTTTCCAGATAATGTGGAAACTTCTGCTGCCTCTGGGAGCAGGAGCAGCCTCCCAGAAGGCTGGTCTGGTGCTATGTTAGGTCCAGTGTTCATTAGGGACCCAGTGCAATGCCTGGTGGCATCTGCATTTAGGAAGGACTTGCTCCCTTCTCAGCCTCACCTTTTGGGAGATTTAATTTGATTCGTTTCTCACTGGTTTAAATTCTACTGAATATTTCTCTAGCTGTTATTTGGGGAACGCTGAAATATTTGAAGTAGCAGCTTTGGCCTAGGTTGCTCAAGACAGTGAGAGGCTGATGGTCCAGCTCCTTATGGAGCAGAGCCACCAGCTGCCTTCTCTTTACAGCCTTGCTGTCTTCAGGCCAGGAAAGCTGCCTTCTTTTCACGGTGCCATGAATTCTTCAGAAGATAGGTTTTTTTCAGCTGTTCCCCATGATGGTTGTTTCCTAAGAACATGTACATCACTTCTGCTGGAAAACAATGCAGGGCTCTATTGATAGAGAAGAAACAGCCCCAGGCAATAGGTGAGGGATTACTTTCAGCTGATCTTTGTTCCCTGTCATGCAGTGGAAATTTTGGTTATTTTTTTGGTTGGTTGAACTTTGACAACTGTTTCATCTTTGCTCCAATGCTGTAATTGGGCAAGAGCATCAGCATGAGGTGCCTTCTGTAACTGGTTTGCTGTTGCCCAGGTGCTGCATTGTGTGACATAATGAGCAGAAAATGGTATCTTAACATAACCTTATCCCCAGAAACTAGAGCAGGTTTATAAATAAATATGTTCCTGCAGAGACCATCTCAGAGATCTGAGCTAAAGCAATGTGCTGCCATGAAGCAATGCATTTGCAATCCAACCATGGAAGTACACAGCTTTCTAAATTATCATTTTTCTGTTGGTCTAAACTTAAAACCCAAGTGATAGCCTCTCATGGAAAAAAAAAACCCAAACAAATTCTGGTTTCTTTGGCTCCAATCTCCTGCCATTTTTTTTAACCAACATTCCTTTAAAAATTTCCATAATCTATTATGAATGCATCACTTTTTATGTTCATATATCCATTCAGTCTCACAACATCTCCATAGAGTGCTTTCAGGTATTTTAAGGACTCTAGAAATGGTGCTTTACCAGTACTCAAAGGGTTTTATGTTTTATTTTATTACATAATGCATTTAATGTCTTATTTACTCACCTACAATGCACAGTATTAGCTATGTTCATCTGAATATCTATATGCAACTTCCATTCACTTACATATGCCTTAACAGAAATTGCAATAAATAGCCATATCTTGTATATTAAAAATGTATATACAAATTAGAATCTTTAATTTTATAATTTATTAAATTCAAAATGTCTGTGTTCTTTTGCAAAAAAAAAAGTGTTTGACTTCCCTGTGTTTTTTTCCTTGAGTTAATGTTTTGCAGAGATGCTGGAGGAGGAAGGACCAGCATCTTCAGATTCAAAACCAATTCAATTTCTACAATTTTATCTTAGTGTAATGGGATTGGGATACACTTCCTGCTAAAGTCCTACATCCTTGATACAACATCCACTATCCAAGGCTAAACATCATGAAGTCCCTGGGCCAAAATCTCAGTTGATAACTGCACAAAAATTAATCAAACTCACTTAAACCTGCTTGAGGCTGAAACCTATCCTGGTCCATGTATCATCACCTTAAAAGGCTCAGTTATTTGAGCTTCTATTCAGGACTGATGAGTAAATTCTGCTTTGCATGTCCTATTGATAAAATAATGGCTCCTTTCCATGAAATTCTTTTGCATACATTTTCCTGCCATATCCTGCACACTCATAGCCAAGTTCCCTTTAAAGCATAATTGAATGTCTCCCATCTAATTGAAGTTTGCTGCTCGAGGATTTGAAAGATCCCTCCTTTCTGTGATTATTCAGTGAGCACCTTGCAGTGCATTCAAATCCAACATGTTCTTTTAAACAGGTAACAAACTGCCTCAGCATTTTCCACCTGGAAGAGTCATTTACTTACTTAAATGCCCTGATAAGAGAGCAGACCAGCCCAAACCTGGGGTTCATTTACTGTGACAATTCATGCAGTATTGACAAGGGTTGTATTTAATTGCCTTGTCACCTAACACCAGTAAGAGGTAGCTTGGGCAGAGAAAAAAGCCTGTGCTGGTAA